CAGTTGGTTTGATGCACAAATTGTTGATTTGAGTCTGGGTGTTCTTTGTGCACATTCGATGGATGTTTGTGAAGTCCTCCGAGGTACAGGATATATTCCTAATGAGTTGTTTTTTGTTTTCAAATAACATCCTCCAATTAATTACAAGACGGAGTCAGCTAGATACCCGAAGTTCCGACGGTTCTCAGAATGTATATCGTGTGGTCATAATATAGCTCTGTTAAGTTACCAACGGTGAGTGTTCACAAGAAAAAATAATTATCTTTTAAACAATATATTATCGACTTCGATACATCATGATGAATTATGATGCTCTGTATTCTTGCTTCCTTAATTTTCATCCTTAGAGTTGTTACTTTTTCTTTGAATTTAAATGAAACAGAACGGGAAGTATATGTACTCTCCTAAATAAAAGTCTTTCTATCTCGGTTAGTAAATGACGACAAATGAGTTCTGGTGTATCAAACATAAAAAAACAAAAAAAGTCAAGTGACACCCGATAGATAAGATAAGAAATAATAATATATATTAAATAAGATAAGTTAGTAGTTAAATAAATATTTCATTTATAAATATTGCTCAATTTTTTATATAGGTATGAACAAAAAAAATTGATTTGCTAATTAACTACAACCAGTAGTTTAAAGTAAAGCAGCATTAAAAAAAAAACTCGAAAACTATTGATTGTAAAGAAACAAGACTAGTCTCATTTAATCCTCATCAAATTTTCTAAAAATCCTGAATCCTAAACTTAAATCCAAGCTCAAAATATCTTTACGACTAGCGACTAACGCTTTTTCGTAACGTACGCTTTTTCTCGTGAAATCTCTCTCGCCACATCGTCCCATAATGAACTTCGTTCCTATAAAACCGCACTGAACCAACACTACACAAGTGTTGGTTCAGTACACTGTATAGATTGTAGATATATTTCTATATTTTTAACATCACACATACAACTTGCCAGGTATTTTTTGATTACTTTATATTCGTTGAATTTTACACGTTTCTCGCAGTGTGATGTGATGGAATTTGAACTACTGACACATTTACTGACAAATCAGGCTTTTAAATTTATTTTTATTTACACTTCAAATTACCTAATGCTTTACAGTATTTAATATACTTATACATTTATAATTATATTCGTTTACAGGAATTCGTAAAAAAAAATACATCTCACTAGTTGTACCCTCCTTTCTAAGGAGAGGCCTATGTCCAGCAGTGGACTATTATAGGCTGTTGATGACGATGATGTGAGTTGTACCCGGCCGCGCTTTGCTGTGGCACGTTGTGGATGCATTGTTGAGAAATGAGGAACATAACTGGTGTGAAAGATAGATAAAAATAATATATAAAGCGGGTCGTATATCGTGTCAAAATTGACGCCCAATCGGTGCGGCATTTTGTGAGGTTTTGAAGCGAACTTAACATTTTATTTATATAGATAAAACGCAAGTTCGGACAGATAGGTAGGAGAATATAAGCAACTACTCACTAAATAACTTAATCATCAGTAGAATCATAGATATAGAAATGGCCTTCAGCGTGAAATTACACGAGACCTCTGAAAATGTTGCCCGGAAACCGCATAGAGGATCACACACAGTTACATTTTACACATTTAATAAACTTAACCAATTAAGTCTTTTAGTCGTGTTGCCACATCAAACATGGCAGAAACCCTCAAACCTTTCGTAATAGAGTAAAAACGGAATAAACAGAAAGTGTTCATAAAATCAGTAACGGCTGAAACATGATCCAGTTAAAATTTTACGTGCCTTCTCTTAATTTAACGACTGAATGTAAAGTGATTTTTACTTTTATTTATACTGAAACTTCTGGGCCGACTGTTTGGATTTTTCTGAAACGTTTAATCTATTTAGAAAAAAGGGATGGTGTAATGCAGTTTAACGCTTATAAAAAAACTTTTTAAAATTCACTGACACATATAAATAATCTTTTATGTGGTGGCTAGTTTTAATATAGGACTGGAAGAGATTGCTCTTAGCAATAAGGCTGGCGTTTGTACATTACATGTGTGACATTTTCATGTACCTACCTAGTTTTCTATCTATCTATATCAAATAAAATATATACATACACAGCATATTTTATTTTCTATTCTTAACATAACGTTGACATAATACTTACAAAAATATAACTTGCTATGAACTTTTAAAGAATCTTCTTTGTCGGGAATTTTTTATGCGTAAGTTAACTCATCATACATTTTTTTCAATCTAAAACACATCATTTTAAAATCTAATCTACAAAATAAACCTGTTCAAAAAGTTGAGATACGCTTTGAAGTTTATATTTTTTAATTACCAATCTCGGATTAAGAGCGTTTTAGTTTTAATAATCCATTTCGAAAACCGTGCTGACGTTCAACGTTTTTGTGCAAAATAATTTTTTAGAAGCATAATTTTTCGTACATATACAGCAAGCACTTTGGGATCCTGGGAACATTTTAGATGTCGCCCACCTGTGCACCACCCATCAAAGTTGCAAGAATAGTCATAAATTCTTCGAAAATCCATGGTTACTCTTCTTTTAAAATTAGCCTCGAGTTAACACAACCTCTGAAAACTAATAGAAGCATTATAAAAAAAACTAGAATATCTTGAAGTAGTAAACTAGATTGTGAAATTTATGATTAGAGGTAATTCAAGAAATTCTTCCTTAAACATTAATCACACACCACTTAAATGTATAGAAATGCACCACAAATTGTCTATCATTATAAATATACCAAAAGTAAAAAATTCTCTCGAGTCTTAAAATATCTTAGTCTTAAAATTTATCGTTTAACAATCTAATAAAAAAAATGTACTCGTAAAACAAGGATTCCATATCGACTACCTGGCTTTAGCATCCGGCTATGCTCAATGTGTTGGACTCAGCCGTGGGAGAGCCATGCTTCGGCACGAATGGGCCTGCTCGACCGGAGTGATACCGCGGCCTCACAGAAAACCGGTATCAAGCAGTTCTTTCGCTGCCTTTCACTCAGTGATTGAGGTTACCGGAGCTCAAATCCTCCATCCCGCTGACTCGAGTGGGCGGGACTCCAAGGGTAGCAACACACTTGTGACTTTTGTGTTGCAGGTGTCAATGGGCTTCGGTAGTTGCTTACCATCAGGTGACCCGTCTGCTTGTTTGCCCTCTTTTACAGAAAAAAAAAACTCATATGAGCCCAAAGTCAACGGGTTCACTAAGATTTGTTCTAAAGTTGTTTTGTTGTTGTTGTTTTTTTTTACATAATCAAGTTAGTAACAAGTGAAGCTAATTACCACCAATTATGTATTAGCAATTTTCTTTCACAATATTTCTTAACATACCAGGGATTCAAGATTTACGAGTAATTGTTCACTATATAACCTAGATTTTAGCATCACTTTCTTATTCACTGGATGACCTACTCACCTCATCGCCAAAAAGGATATTGCGCAGAATGATGCATACTAACGTAAATTTTATAATAAATGCAACAACGATGCTTAAGCAAGAAGAATATCATCCATAAATCCGAAGTCTAGTTTTCAAAGCCCATCCATTTATCGATTATCGTGACTTATGTGGCGGAACAAATCCGTTTCGTTGCGAAAACCGCTGTAGTCTAAATGAGCACTATTTTTTACCGTCTCGTTTCATGCTAGCCATTTGTTAGAACACGCTCGGCTTGCAGACACATCATGCGAAAGTCTCAAATTCACGTTGAGGCCAATTATAGAGCTTGTTATTGCTGATAAATGACCGACAGTTACTCGTCCACTGTTTTTATACTTACATTGTCCGGAGTAAAATATGTGTGTTAAACTTAATGAGAAGGCATATTTTTGATGTAACGTAAATGTTTTTAAAAATGATAATACATCAGGTTTAATGTACAACAAAACTCTTTGATTTTTTTTTTAATAAAGTACCTATCTCTAATTTTACAAAATGTATTATATTTTGTCTTTAAATAAGCGTCAGTCAAAATAAAAAGAAAAGGGGGAATATAAAAGGCCATAAGACGATGTTGACATTAAGCTATCAAATGCTTAAAGACAGTCTCTTTGAGGAGTTCCTCTCAAGCTTTCCAAAAAGTACTTGCCTTTTCCTTAATAAAATTCCTGCTGATATTGCCATCCTGAAATTAATACGACTACCACCACTGCTTTCAGGGACGATCTCCTAAATCTTGCAATAGGGAAAGGTTTAAGCAGTCACCTTTACGCTTCCTACTTCACTGAGCGTCGTGGGTCCAATCCCCATATGTGACAAACCTTTGTGTGATCCACAAATTGTTGTTCTGAATCTGGGTGTTCATTGTGTAAAGTCCGCCGCGACACGCAATATATTTCTAGGGCAGAAATTTTCTTTTTTTTTAAGAAAAGAAATATTAATATAATTTTTGTTGTCATTTTGTTTGAGATGGCTGAAAGCCACACACCCACACTCTAATCTTTCTAGATCCAAAAAATAATGTTGTTTACGGTGATCATTTTAATTGAAATACTTTTATATCTTTTTCTTTTTCTTTATCAATAAGTCTTAGCACTTTTAGAATATGATGTTTTAAATTTTTAAACCACTAGTTTAATTATATTTGATTTCACCCAAGACTCATATTTTTCAGTAAGCCTAACTATTCTCAATAACCCTACACCTCGCGACAGGTTCTAAGACACATTCACATGAAATAATAGGGAACAGTATTCACCCGAGACATCGTCTTAATTCAATTACGTCAGTTCAGAATATATCTAGTTTTCTATTCCCAGCGGCAGTCTACAAACTATGATTTGAATAATAAACAATACATCACAAAGTTATTTGATCAATTTAATAGTTAACTAAGTCAGTGGACTTTCAATCCACTGCTATCTCTTAATATGGCTAATTCAACAAAATGTAGTACTATTTTTTTCAACTCTTTGAATGCATCTCTGGCAGAGTCACACGCTGTTTTGTATTCCTAACCCTCTCCTAAGCTGTTGTCTTATGAATTCCAGATGAGTCCCTCATCCCCGCGACCTCGGCCCCGCCCCGCTCCTCAGGTACTAGTTTCGTATCCTTCTCTTCATTTTTAATTACATTTTTCATTTGTTTATTCATTACTACTTCATTATACTTTCATCTATCTATAGCAGCTTCATTTTCGTGTTTATGTTGTCACAGCACGGGATGTTATTTTTTCGGCATTCATTAGATGGAGATCGGCTAGGCGAGCGTGGTAGCGCTTTTTGAATTTGCATGTACAGCAATCATTTTGTGTACTCGTACGTGTCTTTGTTTGACCCGCATTAGTTACGTTCAATATGAAAAAGATGCAGGTTCGTAATGAGATCATGTTTCGTAAACTCATTAGTTAAATGAACGAGAAGATATTTTCTAGTAACAAGATTAACCCCAAAAAGTTTGTCGACGAGTAATTACTGTCAAAAACTGTGCCTCAGAAAGTAGAATGAAATTTTATTGCCAACATCTCAATCGGTGGGTTACTGTAATAAAAATAAACGTTTTCGTCGTTACGTCAACCAGTGTTTCGAATTGAGTAAGTTAGAGAAACTCATAATGCTAAGTTGAAGAGTTTTTAAACTCGAATCAAGTATAGTCGACGTAAAATTAGATTTGCATGGCTTTTAAACTGGCATGATCATTATTGCCTTGTTCAATTAAACTGTTTTCGACAATAATAGTAGTCAGTTTTGTTAGTGAGTTGAATTAAACAGTAAGTTTGAATTTTTTTAATGTCTATCCTCTGTATCATAAGAACATTTAAAAGATAAACCATTAATATGATGTAACATATCAAAAAATATCTGCACGATTTGTGAAATGCCCCTTAAACTCAAAACTCATGTAGCAAAACATAGTAGTTTCATTAAATCCGTGTTATAATACCTTGTGTATGGGTCCTGAATTGCTATTTGCACACGATTTGTAAATATGCAAGTATTTTCTTAAGCTTGTTCAATGGATTGTGTACTTTGTGTGGAAAGTATAAAGTTCGTTTCTGTTTGTTACAGCTGCTGCGGCGACCATATGGGGCTCTCAGGATGTGTACGTGAAGAAAGGCAGCACAATATCGCTGACGTGCTCAGTGAATGTGCATTCGTCGCCACCCTCCACAGCCTCAATTTTATGGTAAATCTTATTGTTCGTTACGGAACCTGATAATTTATACTTTTTCATTTCTATTTTTATTTGTAGAACTATGTTTGTCGTTCTTTATTAAATATTACTACTTGAGAAAAAACTTTGAAATTTAAAAGTGTTTGAAACTTAAGTAGAAATACACCAATCTTTGATCGAGATTACGGCAGAACTTGGTAAATAAATTATTACCAGTGAGCTATAAAAGTCGACTGAAGGAAAAGGCGATAAATAAAGGTCCCATATAGGCGATGCATACCGTTTTTATCAACTTATATCAAAAGCTACGCAATTTTCAATAGGAGGAACTTCATTGAAAATGAAATTATATGTTTTAAACGTATTGTTTTAATTTTACCGCTGCTTTGCAGTGCAATATAAAATATGTTAATAAAATGTAAGGTATAAAAATTTTGTGGAATAAAGTTATTGTTACAATTAACATCTTATAACTGGTATGAAACCCTTCTGCCTAAGAAAGATACTTAAAAAAAATAAAATAGGGTTCTAATATTGCATCGCCTTATATTATGTATAACAAAATAGGTATCACGGCAACTCCGTTGTGGACTTCGACTCCCCACGCGGAGGTATTAGCCTAGAGACAGAGAAGACGGAAGGTGGCACAACCAGTAAGCTACTGGTCACTAAGGCTGCTCTCACAGACTCCGGGAACTACACATGCGTGCCCAACAATGCGCATCCCGCGTCTGTATCTGTCCATGTGCTGAATGGTGAGTATATAATCTCAACGTTAGCAATTCAGAGAACCAGAAGGTCGATCCTCGTAATAAAAATTCATTCAAAATTAAGTGCCGATCTACGTTTGATCTGACAAATTTCATAAAAGGTATTTTCGCATTAAAATGTACTGTGATTATATCGGTATTTTGTTAGTCGTAGTAATACTTTCATCATCATCATCAACAGCCTTAATAGTTCACTGTTGGACACAGGCCTTTCTTTAGATACGAGGTTTGGGCCTACTATACCACGCTGGCCAGATAGTTTGTTATAGGGTTTATTTCAAGTTTGCCTTCTCTTTGCAGTGCTGTTGTTCTGCAGAGTTTGCTCCCTTAGTCGGTTCTTACGGCATCCACGGAATGAGTAGGTGGTCACACTCCTTATTCTCAATCCGTCTCCATACAGACATAAGTAATACTTAACTACGAGCATATCTTTTATGACATTTTTGAGATCGAGAACAGATTAGAACCGCATTTTGGACGAATTTTTATTACGAGAATTGACCTTCTTGATTTCATAATGCACATCAAAATTTACGTTTAATTTGGCTAGTTTATGGAATGGATATATGTTATATTTGAAATGTTGCGGGAAACCCAGGACCTGTTGTTGTGGCGAACCTTGATTCCCACAAAACTGTGTAAGATATTTTTGTGCATCACTTAACAACTGTGTTATTTCTTTAAGGCTAACGAAAAGCTAATAGCTATGCGTTTTCTGAAAAGCAATGTTATAAATTAATTGAGTGTTCAAAAGTAGATACTAGTCCTACCTTCAACGAATTTAAAATAAACCACGAAAACCGAGCACCATGATTAGTTTTTATTTAAATATACATTCTTCTAATGGTGTAACGTTCTTTAGGTGAGCATCCAGCAGCGATGCAAACGAGTAACCGAGCCTCGTCCTACCTCACGTCACAGTTGAGCTGTGCCATCTTCACATACCTGCTGTCATCCGTCGTCTGCAGATGATCGGTTTAAATCACCATCACCGATTGTTAGAGGGGCCCGCGAATGTTGTGTTTCTATCACCGAACAATGCAATACGTACCTGTGTGTTAATCTATAAGATATATGGCAATTTAAGTATGTATTATAATTGTTATTTATTTTCTTGTACTGGTTTGTTTGATGGCGTGTTCAAAACATCTCAAAGAAAGTTTTTAACGTTATTCGATTAGCGGAATAATACGTACAAATACTTTACTGTAAATACAATTCCAATGTTGGAACAAGACTCGGATTTTTCCGTATCGCTTTTACCATGTTCTTCCAAACATCAGTTTATAGACAGACGAATCGAGTTATTTTATTTACTCAGATGCTCAAACACTTATTTGGAAGATAGAACCCATTCGGTTGTGAGTTACAGAGATAACTTTCAAATAAAATAAAAAGGATTTGCTAAATAACAAAGGCTCCTGTCCCCTCTGAAGTTATAACGTAAATATTAAATTTGAATAAAAGTAATAATTTAGGAAACTGTTATATGTAAAATAATTGACATTTTGGGAAAAAAAATGTGATTGTAATGTTATTCGAGCAGTATTATTATGAGTGTTATTTTGTGAAGAAGGAAATTGAATTTCTTTTAATTATTTAAATAATACTAATGTAATTTGATAGAAACACAAGAAACAATAATGTTACTTTAAGAATTTCTAATGATTTGTACGAATATTGATTATTATTTTTAACAAGTGAATGTAAAACATTTTTTGTAAATAAAGTAAAGTCATACGTAACAAATTGTAGAGTAAATAAAAGTTTATATCAGATCGCATTGTAAATATTTCGTATTGTTGTAAATACAAAAATAAACGAGTTTAATACATAAGATTAATATTATTGATAACAGTAGGCGTTCCACCATTCAAGTGGTGAAAAACTTGTTTCTTGTTTTTGTTCCTAGAACAAACAATGTGACTACTGATATTTCTTTGAATCTCTTTTTGTCAGACTCATTGGTATTGAAGTACTAGGTTGGCTATTTCATAAAAACTTTAGGATAAAAACTTTCTAGACAATGAAAAACAATCTTTCTTGAAATTGTGTATTGTTTCCATTATACTTAAATTTCTTTTTTGCGACGGAAATAGTGGCAAAAAGTAAAGGAAATTTGGAATGAAATTACGAAGCGCTTTTGCTTTAGAAAACTTTATTTATTAAAATATTTTACTATACTGTGAGTTAGAGATGTTTTTTTTTTATATTTTGATAGTTAGATTACGTGACAGACTTTTAAAACTCAGCAGCTACTGTGTTGAACAATACCTAGAAGTAAACGTTTCTGCTACTTAAGATGTATTTGTTTTGTTTATTTTACAAAAGCACCTATTAATTACTGCATTAGGTACAAATCTGTACTTACGTTTCTGATAACAAGAGGCTTAAAACTGTAATTACTAGGAAATAACGACAAATAATTATTAAGATTCTATCGACTATTTTCCACTAAAACTTTTATGTATAAACTGGATTTGCATCTCAAGTACTAGAATTTAATTTACGTGTAAATCTAGGATGGTATAGACTAAATTTACACTGCGTAAAACGAGACTTATTAAGTTTATGGTGAAGTTAAATTTGAAATTAGAGTGAGGTGTCTAATAGATTCAGATGGGGCTCGTTACGTGTAACGCGTAAATTGAGTCCGAGCCTTACGCGGCGTAAATTCGGTCGAAATACTGCTAGATACGATGCCTCATACTGTTGACTTTTCCACCTTCTTGTATACTTGTAAAGTAGTTTAATACTGAAATATTACGATAGTATGGTAGCTGAAATATACCTAGCTATGTTCCTTTAAATAAAACGTAGTATGATGTTATTAAATGTAATTGGAGAATTTGTTTGTACGGTTGCGAGTTTGGGACGTTCCACACGTCCATTCGTGAGAATGTGCAATATTGATTACTGAAGAAGTTGTTTTTGTTTCTTTTCGTATCTTGTACATAAATTGTAATAAGGAAGAAGGGAGTATTAATAAATATTATTAAAAAATACAATTTGTTTGATTCAATTTTATATTTGGAGTTGACTTTAATAAGTTAAATTCTTTTTCTTTTTCATTTAAACGCAAATGTATGAACATGTAAATGGTGAATGAAATCAAATATGAGAATCACTCACGTTAACGTCTTATTTGCTTTTTTATAACAAAATCGCATTAAAAGCAACTCAGGAAAAGCGATTTAGTACAGGATAAGCAGAAACATATCTTTACTCTTTTGAAGTGGAGTGCCAATCTTGGGAAATTATATTTTATTTCCCTTTCATAATCTCGGCGAGTATATTCTTGAGGAATAAAAACGTTGGCAGTATGAAGTGGTGGGTTCGTTTTAAGCCGCCGTTGCGATGTGATGACACACGCGTCGTATATTTAGGGCGGGATTACGCGACTGTACACCGCACTTTATATTACTTTGTTGAATTTTTTATAGAAGACCGATAATCTCAGCGACGGGATTTAAATTGGTGATTTATGGTATTTCGCTTTTCGTTCATTGAGCTCTACGTTTTAAATGTAAAATGATATTTTAGTCAAATTTAAAGTCTTTCCTATTGTTTTGTTATTTTTTTTTTTCTTGATTTTCAAGTATCTTATCTAATTCTAATTTCAAGTAAGTTCTTAAATCAGGCTTAAATTTAATAAAGTTACTAACTAGAAGCGAGTTTGCAGGAGGTTTTTACAGGTACATTAATTTACAGCGGTACGTCATGTACACAACGGATTTAAATTTAATTGTGGCTCACTTTGAGCGACACCTTGGAGAGATCTCTCTTTCTTTTTTCAAGAAACATGTCAACTTATCCACCGTGAATAATACTATGAGTGTGAATAATGGTAATATAACGTTTTAAATTTATTTTTTTACTGGTGCATTAATTTACAGCGGTATTATCTTTTAAAATCAGTTATAGGTAAATATACAAAATAATTTCGATCAACTCGACCCATTCGACGAAGCTAACTGAAATTTTCAACCGAATAAACACTCCTTGTTCACACAAGTTCGCACAAATCTACGTGCATACGTGCACTCCACGTACACAAAGACTTGGACTCGGTGCAACGGGCATTCAGTCCGAGTCTACTTATGCGATTAACGATTTCTTAGAATCACTACTAAACTCATTCACTGGGATTCAGGTAATAGAATGAACTCACAATGTTGGTCAAAGAGTTTAATAATGCGGGTAGTTGGCTAAAAAGTGGCTTGTTCAATAGATACCCGCATTATATTTATTTTTTTTACCGCAGGATTTAATTATTATTTTTTTTTGGTGTATTTCGCATTTTGTTTTCGTATTTTATTTTTCGTTGAATTTGAATGTATTTTTTTATTTTTTGTGTAAGTATGTAAATGTGAGTATAGTGTAGGCTTGTAATGTTAATTCATATTTTATTATCTTTCTGGTGGTTTTGAGTGTTTCCACGGCCTACCCAAATGTCCTGCTGGCGGTAGTGTCATGCTTCGGGTCGTTGATCTTGACCAATATCGGTTAGGCTACACGATGGCTGAAGCCTGTATGCCGTCTGAATGGACAGGCTGACTCAAAACTATGGTCATTTCCTCAAAAGTACAGTATAGGGTCTGGATAGGTATCCAGACCCTATACTGTACTTGCACAGTTTTATTTAACTTTGTTTACGGACTTGAAAAAAAAAGACACCTCTGTGGTTTGTTTCGGCGTTTCTTCCCAGAGTGAGTCTTAGGAAATGCCGGCTCCTTCTAGCTATAAAGTCCGACTTGTAAAAATATCTGAAAAGATTTACTTACAGAAGTAAATATCATTTATCATTTATATCGTTTCAGGTTAACTGTGAACTGCAATGACTGTCGAAGATGATTAAACGATTTCGGATTAAGTAAATTAAAAATATTTATCAACTTAATATTAAAAATCATTTTTTATATGATTATAGACAGTTACCAGCTGAGCCGACAAACGTCGCTTTGCCATATTATTATGTATTATTTCTGAGAAATATTATTTTTGAATAAAAAAAAACATTTAGGGGTACGAAAAAATTTCATAAAAATCAGTCCAGCCGTTTCAGAGGAGTTTGGTAACAAACACCGCGATACGAGAATTTTATTTAGATAATTATAATTTGGAAATATACTATGTACTCGAATGATGATAAAAGACTTGGCTTCAATTACTTAATTGGGACTAAAGTAATAGTTGGCAAGTTGGTCTCTTAATACGGCTTTGTCTATCCCTTTGATAATAAAGTGCGTGTAAGTAAAAATTTTGCCTGCCTGTAGCGGTAACTCATAATTTATATCACATACTTTGAAATTCACGAATCACACAATTATCAATATACCGTTTGACGGAACTGTTGGTCGAGTGGTTAGTGACCCTTACTGCTAAGCCGGAGGTCGTGGACTCGATTCCCACCCAGGGCAAATATTGTGCGATGAGCACGGTCATTTGTTCTGTCTCTGGATGTAATTTATAAATAAATTGCATGTATTTAAAAATATATAAGTATGTTTATCAACAGTCTGGTTACCATAGCATAAACTTTGCCTAGTTTGGGATCAGACGGCCGTGTCGGAGATGTGTGAAGTTATTATTATTATTTCCGTCGCACATAGTGTCTTAATTATTCACAAGAGAGGAGAAGGTAACAAATTTCGCATAATTCTAACATCTCTTTTTTTCCTAAATAAAATTTATTTTAATTAATATTGAATTAAGTGGTACGACACGCATGGTAACTGGGTTCTAAGAATATTTTATTCGATAATACAATCTGGCATCCCTGGAAAAACTTATTAATAGAATATAACCTATATGCGTATATTACTACATCTAGACTGAAACACTCACGTACCAAAGGCCTGTCGTTCAAAATTATACTTTGAAGAAAACTAATCAAAATTACGAGAAAAACCTTCAGCATGAATATCATCACAGGATTTCATTATAACGAGTTTCCTAACTTTTTAGGTTAT